CCCGTCGCTGGCCGCGGCGCCCTCGGGGAGCGCCAGCAGGTGAGCGGTGCCCGCTGCACCTTCTCCTGAGGTGGTGGGCGGCGTGTTCTAGGTACGAGCTGCCGGCCCCGTCCTCCGGGCAGAAGAACGATATCACGGCGTGGCAGGAGTGTGTGAACAACTCCATGGCGCAACTGGAGCACCAGGCCGTCCGCATCGAGAATCTGGAGTTAATGTCGCAACATGGTTGTAACGCTTGGAAGGTGTACAACGAGTAAGGCCTTTATCTGCTTTGCTGAGCCTAGTCGAAGTTCTGACTTCAGTTTCTGTATATTTCTCGTGTATTCTTGTGTAAGTCTAGCGGGGATCTTTAGAACGAATTCTGGAATAACTGAGCCCCTTTGTCAGAGCTGTATGTGGAAGAGAAGGAGGCTGATCTGAAAGACAAGGAGCCATCTCTGTGGCCAAGAAATAGCCTGTGTTTCAATATATCCCAGTCTTGAATTCTGTGAGTTATTGATCAAGTAGCAGTTGGTGGTAATGGGCTTTAATTGAGGATAACTGAAGGGTCTAATGACAGCCTGTGAAATGGTAATTCAGTAGTGGAAATAAAGATAATTTACTACTGATCCTGCTCAGCCTGGAGCCATTAGTAATAAAGCTGTTGCAAAACCCAAAAAAAGTTGTAGACCATATGGTTCCAGGAAGCACCAGGGCTATTTCAGGCAGAGAATGTCTGCTTTCACGTAAGGTTAGCTTAGCCTTAGATAAAGGTGTAGACAAAAGGAGTGTGAAAGTTAGCTTTCAGAGAAGGCAAAGGGTTACTTAGCTTGGGAGAAGGAAAGCAGGTGGAGGATCTATTAGCTCACGCATATATCAGGAAGGGAAAGAACTGTTTGTGCTCTGACAATTTTATATGAGGGAAACAATAATAAAAATTTGTTACGGATAACTTCAGAATTAAAATTAGAAGATAGCTGATAAGGTAGGGAGATGTTACAATAGCATTCTAGTCAGAATAGCGCAAGCATACAGGAACCACCTTGAAGATAAAACTCAATCAGATAATGGATGTGATTTCATGATACCATCTGATGGCAAGCGCTGACTGTAGTGATTATTGAAGGTTTATGTCTTAAAACTGCTTATGTTACACTTGGAGTGTTTTGGCCTGTGTCATTCCCTTCAGGAGTGAAAAGCACAGACTGCACTGAGAACAAGTTGTCTGGTGTTGCTTTGAAGTGGCTTGTTGCATCCTTAACTCTGAAGAGTTAAATGGCAGGTTAAATGGGTCTGATCTAGCAATTGTGTGTTTTCCTGATGCTTTGCTTGCATTCTGGTATTAGGCATCTGGTTCATATGATAGAACAAGCCCAGAAAGAGCTTCAGAAGTTGAGGTGAGTCATTCTTTTTCATATTTTCATACTGAAGTTGGAAGGAGGTGAACCTCTGCCACAAGCTATACAAAGGCTTGTGTATATGCTGCTGCTGTGGTCATAGGAAAACAGACCTAGTAATAACAATAATTAAAAAATCTGACCATGAACTTCCCAAGCAGTTACATTCGTAATGCCTTTTCCACTCAAACTCTGTGTTTGTTTTGTTTGTTTTTGTTTTGCCTGAACTTCTGCTTGGAACAGAATGGATTATGGTGGAATCCTCTCTGAAATGCAGTCATGTTTTCTTTTCACTGATGATAGACTTCTATTTAGTGTGCAGTTGTCTCAGCAAAGACACGTTCCCTGATGTTAGGTTTGGCCTATCATTTTAAAGTGGATGCTTTAATGAATTTAGAGAGATGGATTACTCAGGGATGGAGGTTGTAGTATATTGAAATGATGCACTGTCAATTCACTTGTAGACAGCATGCTATGGACTTGGCAAGTTAAGCTTTTCAGCTTTCTGATTTAGGTGAACTACTGTCATTTTCAGCCTGAAGACAGGACTGTATACTGGGACATGGGTAGAAGGCAAATCGCATAGCAAGTCATAGCTTTTATCAGTACTTGCACGTTTAGATTGTCTTGGACAGAATCCGTGTGGGAAAGGGTAGAAGCAGAACTCAAGTTGGGAAGGCTAAAGGAACACCAGGACCTATGGCATTAGCATTAGCAATGTGAACTAGGAACTACTTAGAGACTAAAGTATTTTAAGTATTCAGCACTTCTCAGGTGCTTCACTGAATTACTCAATTTTGTGAATGATTAGCCATTCATCTTTGCTTTTCTCACTCTTTTTTCCAGCAAGAACAAAACATTTTCTCTGTTCTGCACTTGTCCAGAAGCAGTAGGCTTGAACATTTGAAGTTTTGCTTGTAGTAGAGTGGAGGTTTTTTGTTGTTTTGGTGGTTTTGTTTTTTTTTTGCCGGGGGGAGGGTTCTGCATGCTATCCTGTACTGGGCTTTGTCCATCTATATGTTGTAGTTATGGTCCTGTCAACACAAGTGTTTTCTGGTAGTGCTTATAGGGGTTAGGTGTATTTTGAAATAAGCTGCAGATATTACAAATTTTAAAGGAAGGAGACAAAAAATCCCAAAACATAGATCTTTTTCTCCCCAGGAAAAGCATTCAAGATCTGAACTGGCAACGAAAGAACATGCAGCTCACAGCTGGGGCTAAGCTACGAGAAATGGAATCTACGTGAGTATCTAGAATTTTTCTGTTATGTCTTCCACAGTTACATCTTTTGCTTGAAATTCTTCCATGCAGAGCGTCAGTGATCTTTCAGTACTATTGTAGGATGTTATCGTGTGAATACTGTTGCTTTGCACAGTGTTTTAAAGGATTTGTAATTCAGGTCTATGTAATAGTTAGTGTGGTTGAGTGAATCAATGAGCAACAGATGTGAAAAGGAGGGTATATTAGCTACTTGAAATTTCCTGTCTAAATTGTTTCTTAAACTCCTCTTTATCTAAATATTGGCAGTTAGTGGATGTAAATTAAATTTTGTGTGCTAAGGTTTAACAGGGTTAAAAACTACTTTTTATCACTTGGTTGTTCAAATTACCATTGATATCAACAGGTTTATCATGTATTGAGAAAAATACTGCTTTATTCGGTGTCTTTGTGCTTTCTTTGGAGCAGTAATTGTCTTTGATTTTAAAACAGATGATTGTTAAATAACACTTGAAGACTTTCTTATTTCTTTTCCCTTCCAGGTGGGTGTCTCTTGTCAGTAAAAATTATGAGATTGAACGAACTATTGTGCAGCTAGAAAATGAAATTTCACAAATCAAACAGCAACATGGGGAAGGAAACAAGGAGAATATCCAGCAGGACTTCCAGTGACTTAATCCTTACTGTCTTACTGCAGCATACGTTTAAAAAAAACAAACCAAAAAACTTTGGAGATGCTATGTGTTTGTAGACACCTCTAGTTGCGGTTGTGTAAGGTGATAAAAAAGTATTTTCATTGTTTCTTTTCCTTGTTTTAAATTCTGGGAGGAGGCAGGGTAGACTCAAAATGTCCTGTTCAAATGTATTATGGGCACAGTTAAATGTACTGTGAATTGGTTCACTTTTTATATACCTAAAGTAGGTGTTGCGTTTTTGCATTTTCCCCTGTGCCTTTAATAAACATTGTTTTGCTATCTGTATGGCTTCTGCTTTATGTTCAAAAAACAGCCTGAGTGCTGTCACTGAGGTAGGCTTTGCCGAATGAACCCATGTAATAGTGCTGCATTGTTGATGTGCGTGAACTTGAATTCAGTGTGGGAGGCTGTGTCTGGGGAAGTGACTGCCGCTTGGTGTCATGGCATTTGTAGCTGGCCCGTGCCAACCCAGGAGAGAGGCTAAGGTGCAATGTACAGCATTGCAAAGGTAAATACTTGTTCATATGCATGAGGTGTCCCAGCTGAACTGCGCATGCCCAAGGGGATTTTCTTTAGCAGTTTTACACCCTACACTACAAGGGTGTGATGTGAATCATCCAATTACCTTGTAATGCATGTTTCTAATTATCCATTGTGAGTGTGGTACAGCACAGTGACTATATTTTTGTAGGTCTTTGCAGCATCATAACACATCACCATCCTTGTGTCTTCTCTGCTCATCCAGATGTTGCCATTGTCAACTTCTGCAAAGTAGCAGCATCCAAAATCACGTTTCACCTAGATAATGGCTCCTTCAGTTAATTGTGTGAGGACAGAGGGTTCATTACCATAGTTGATCGCTTGTTCTTCAGCAGGGGTAGGTAATAGGCCTGAGATAATGACACAACCGTTATACTGTTCTTGGCTCCTCCTGGCTGCAGCGTCT